ACACACACACACACACACACACGCGCGCGCGCGCGCGCGCGCGTGCGCACACACAATCCCAATCATGTCAATTAATAAATACCAGTTGAACCAAGGGCAAACAAGGCAACAGTTCAGAACAGTGTGAAATACAAAACTTTCATACACCTTTATCTTATCCATTGAATTATGTATATCAAAACCTCAGTGATTACGCCGGCTAGTCGAATTTGAAAACACTCCAGCAAATAGTATTACAGATGAATATACATAATAAGTAGGTCTGGTGGTTCCTTGATATTAAGGACAAGAGATTATATCAGACGAAAGTGTGTGTTGTCCCATATTATTACACTCGCTAGAACATGTAGCGCACTGCTGTGTAAAATTAACAAGAATGTCGTGTAACACACTACGCACTACTGTGTAACACAAGCTAAACTTACGTGTAAAGTCCTCCACTGTAACGCTAGCAACGATGTGTTCGGTCCGACATCCTAAAATTCGCTAGATGGGGAGCGTTCTACAAAATAAAACTTGCAGAAATTATTTTCTTAGTAGTGTTACACCATGAACCTAGTTGGCGTGTCACACACGATTTTGTACGATTTGGCGTAACGCTATAACTGTAACGTAACGTTCGCAAGACTGCGTAGCACCATCAACCAATGGAACGCCAGCAGATGTTTATAACACTATCAAATAATGTAGTGCCATGCAAGCTGGAATGTGTAACGCCACCCAAATGTCGTAACACTAGTTGGACTGTGTGACGTCACCAAGCAATGTAATGCACTGGTGGGTGTTTGCCGCCATCAAACATCGAAACACCAGCTGAACTGTGTAACGCCATGGAAACGTCGTAAAGCTAACTTGACTGTGTGACGTCACCAAACATTGTAAAACTAGCTGGACTATATAACGCCACAAAACATCAGAAAAGCAAGCTGGACTCTGCGATGTCATCACCTAACATCACGCCTCAGATAAAGTCAGTAATATCCATAACAATCCTTGCTGGACAGTGGGATGTCACAAAACACCGTAAAGCAAGCTGAATTGTGAAACGCCACCAAACACCGTAAAGATACCTGAACTGTGTGACGACAATAGAAATCATAAAGAAAACTGAACAGTGTAACGTCACCAAACATCGTAAAGCTAGCCGGACTGAGTGACCCCGGGCACAAAGAGCAATATCCCGATGAGCAGAATGACCAACGCCATGGACGTCCCCAGCACTATGCTCGCCACGGCCAGGTCACGTGCTGACTTCCCCAGGAGAGCCGCCTTGCCGAAGTTGCCGTGCTTCTTTGCCCACTGGGCCTGGGGAAACAGATGTTCGGATAAGATAAGATAAGACAAGATAACATAACATAAGATGAGATAGGATAAGATAAGATTAGTTAAGATAAGATAAGATCATACTTTATTGCCACTGTAGAATGTTTTAATGGCTTTACAGGAAAGGTGAAATAACATGTAGATATTCATGAAATTTAAATAACACCCTGCAGGAAACAAGTACCGTTTAAACTATCCAAGCCATCACCTCATCGTTGAGGAGAAAAGTAGTCATCTTAGACAGTGGTACTCTTGGACAGTTTAATTATGATACAAGAAAAAAAACAACGCAAATGGGGAAGTGAGACAGGATCGTTTGTATAGCTGATTGTCTTAGACAGGTGGTTGTTAGAGCAGGTTAAAATGCAAGCCATTGTAAAGAGGTAGCGATGGGTTCGGAAGATAAAGGGATAAGAATGGTTTGTTGTAAAGGTGTACGCACACAGTAGGCCAATCTAGATTGTCATGATATGTACGTTCGCCTTTACAAAAAAATAAGTTCATTTAGGAGGCGGGCTCCCTCGACCCTGCCTGCCAGGGCCAGGCGGGGCTCAGTTTTGTTACAATAACATTCCAACAAGTGTGAAGGAGATACTTGATTTGCTGCGTTTGTTGTTTTTATTGCCGTTGTTGTTGTTGTTGTTGTTGTTGTTTAAAGACAAAAACAGATTCATTATTTATCTTCGTGTGATATAGATAGTTTAGAGAACTGGGAAGCATTTTTTTTACTGTTCAAAAGACCTGACTTGAGCTACAGTTTTTACTCTCCTTTCAGCACGGGTTGCCTGATCAGTGATAGTTTACATGACTTACTACACCAAGTAAATTTGACGACAGAAGCTCGAAGTGACTCCAGCAAATTAGAACTAAAAATCACAAAACAGGGCTTGAACTAGCTTTATAAAATAACAGTTGAGCACGAAATCCTACTTTACATGTATTTATGTAGAACAAAGAAGAATTCGAGCAGTGTAAATTGATGGTCTTCGGTTAATGTCCTCGTGTATTACTCCACCTGAATGTGTGCTCACCTCTTGCGAACATAATCGTTGAAATTAAGAGTGATCCTTGTTTTTTAAAAGTTGCTGTTAGTAGTAGTAGTAGTAGTAGTAGTAGTAGTAGTAGTAGTAGTAGCAGCAGCAGTAGTAGTAGTAGTAGTAGTAGTAGTAGTAGTAGC